CAGAAAATGTCTTCTGGTTCCTGGTTTGGATGCTAATAAATAGTATAGATAAAATATATATACAGAAAAAGGAATAGAACAGGATGTGTTTTAGATAGGATATTTAGGTGACAAGTCACTGGAAAGCTAACATTTGCATAAAACACATGAAGACAACAGAATAAGTCTTGTATGTCTTAAGGAAAGAGCATGCTAAGACAGGGAGCAGCAAGTTCACAGGCTCTGAGATAGGTCAGTGCTTGGAATGCTCTGTACACAGCAGAAAGCCAATGTTGCTGAAGCAGAGTAAGGGAAGAAGAGAGAGGTAAGAGATCAAGGAATAGGGGCAGGAGGAGTCAATACATCTACTACAGGGCCTCATAGGCCATCATAAGTTCTTTGGCTTATGTTCAGAGTGAGTTTTGAAGCCACTAAAGGGTTGTTACCAAGGGACATATAACCTATGCGTTAACAAGATTTTCTCTCACTGATGAGTTCGGAATTATGATGGTGAAGAAAACCAAAACCAGGGAGAGGAGACCTTCTAGTAAATGCTGTAGGTAATCATGCACAAGATAATGGTGACTTGAAAAATAAGAGTGGAGGTAGTAAGGAAAGCTAAAGTTTGAATATATTTTTCACTAAACACACGCACACAGATAAAGATAGAGAATTGATCTTCTATTAAATGGTCAATTAAATGATGTCATTTCAAAATTTCTTAGTTTTATGAAAGTATATTTATAATTTAACTTTTCTTCTATGTTTATAGAAGAGAAACACACACACACACACACACACACACACACACACCCCTGTTCATTTGTTTTCCGTAAGGAGCCTGGGGTATCAATATCCCCATTGTGGATGTTCAGGCACCTTGAAAAGGGGGAAAATCTCAGTTAAGCTCCTTTAGATTCTTTCTTTTCCTTTTTCTCAATTATCACTGAGAAATTCAACAATTTAAAATAGGATTCACCATCACTAACATGAATTAGCAAGGTTCCACTGTAATAATTTCCTATTAAAACCCTGAATTTCAGGTAGTATACGAGGAGTAAAGAAATGGCTGCAAATGCATGGCTCTACATGCAGTCTATTTAATGCTGTGTAAAAGATATCATGGCTGTTAAATATTACTTGCAAGAATAGCTGGAAACTGCAGTTTAGCTGTAGGGTCCTGAGGTTTAGAGAGGATTTTTTTGAATAGCAGAAGAAAACTAGGAAGATCTCATTCCACTGAGAGCTTTGGATAAGTGTAGAAGAAGGACATCTCAATAGTAGCTATCTAGGATGCTGATGTGAGAGCTCACCTAGTCAAAAATGTGTTTGTGCTCCTGCAGAGAATGACCATTGATGATCGCCACTTCAAGAGAACACTAGGGAAAATATGCTTAGGAAAATGAAAATTAGGATAGAAGAAAGTGAAAGCCAAATTATAACACGTGGTGTTAGAGTTGAAAGGAAAAACAAAGTCTGCCAAATTCAATGCCCTAGAGAATATCCTGAGGGAAAGAAAATAGTGCAAAATTCTTTAGCTTTGCAAAAAAGAAGAAGAAAGGCTTTATATAGCAAGCCGTTAAAAAAAATCCCATCAATTAGATTCTCTTACAAATTATAGGGTAGCACAGAATTTTATAAATATTTTAGGCAGAGGGAAAATGTATATTTTGTTAAAGCTAAACTGGATAAAATTAACATTATCATAATCAATAATAACCAAAATTACACCATATATTGCTATACAGTTTTATCATTTATAAAGTTTTTCACATACATTCTCTAATGAAACCAAGGATGTTTTTAGGTCAGAATATTTTTTAGGTGAGAAAATTATGGGGCAGAAACATGAAATGAGAAACAGTTTTGGAGCAAGTATTATTAACTCAGTCCTTTAGAATTCTAACTTAGGATATGTTTCAATACCTTGTTCCCTTTAACATCAGTAAACTCAATATTATATTTACATTTAGCATTGGATTTTTACAACCACCCAGACATTAGAGGGAAATAATCACCAACCAATTGCACTTCCTTTATACTTTCCTGTTTGCGAGTTATCCTTGGGCTATCCCATTGGCTTTTTTTAATTTTACAGATAAGGAAACTAAGTCTTAGTTACTTTCATCAAAAGCCTATACATTCTGCAGTTAGAATGGAAATCCAGTTCTTCTAACTCCAAAGTTCCTGTTTTTTCCATTACACCATAAAAAAATTTACAAAACATACATTTCCTCACTTAAACAACTCACAATATTAAGACAGTATATGCTAACAGACCTTAGTCACACTAATAGAGTCAACAAAATAATCTATATTGCACTGAGGGTTTTCCTTTGATCCTAAATTTTTCCAAGTAGAGCTAAAATTTAAGCTACAACTTAAATTGGATTTGTATTTTATACAACAGTTAGCATACTAATGTACAATACACTTTAAAATGGACAAAAGAATAGGTGGAGGGATGCATGAATGATATTTGTAATAAATTTGAAATTCCTCTTACCTTACTATTGCTTTACTTCCTCTTCAACACTTTCTTTACATTCCTTTACTTAAACCAAGAACAGTTAAGTACAGTCTTTGTTTCCATAATGTGAAGTGTGAGTTCCTTTAAACAAGGAACTAAAATTGCTAATCACTATAGCTGACAAACTGTAGAGAACATATTTGTTAAATGAATGGATGGATGAAATGGATAATATCAACGGATAAACAGCAAATAATCAATAAAAAGCAAAGCACTTCTATCTTGGATGGTGTGCCTGCTCATAAAAGATCTTCTTTCATGAACATTTTCCTGATATCACCTCCTAAGTAGAAACTGTTTTCAATTGTATCTATTGAAGTTATCCTTCAATTGTATCTATAGATGACTTTTATGAACTTGTAGTTTATTTTAATCTATATATTGCCTGTCAGAGTGCTTCCTTGGGAAGACAATTGTCTTTTTTGCTTGGCCAATTACTCCTTGAAAATAGGCACTACTTCTCATGCATTCTTTTGAAATCAGTATTTTGAATATAAACACTTCATAAATATCTTATTGTTTTTCTATCCCATCCTTAATCTCAGCCAGGAAGTTTTACAGGAGCAGATGCAGCATACCAAGACACAAAATTGTAAAAAGCATCTTTCAGCCCAGGTAGAGGGGCAGTCGGGTATAATTAGAAACTAGAGTGTAATCATGTCTGCCCGCTTACTGAAATCTTGACTTATACTTACATATTCAAGCGTGATATTTCCAGCATATTCTAACATAAGGCACTGAGAATGTATTTTTGTAAATTCAGCCATTTCCTAGTGCAATTAATTTTACCTCATTGCCACCCCAAACTACTATAACAGTGATTTTTATGGTGATATATTACCTATGTACTCTAAAATACTTTGAGTACCTTAGAAGAAAAGTGTGATGCAAAATAAGAAAGCATTATTAATTTTAAGACTCTATTAAGAATACACAATTCAAGGCTATAGTTACTGCACCATAAAGATGATGAAACATTTTGATTAATCACAAAATTATTGTTCTTAGTACCTTCTGAGTTCAGTATTAAACATCTTTTCAATTACTTTTTTAACTTCTTGGAACTGCCAATATACATGTCTTATAAGAACTTTTATTTTTCTTTCAGAGGTTAAATGGATATGGCAGCTTCTACCAGAGTACAACTGGCTATTTCCGCTTCATAAATCAACAGCTTTTCTCCTAGGACCAAGGGAGACTCTAGATTCATTCATTTCATTTTGAAAGAAAAAAATAATTATTTTTGAGGGTCTTCCAAATAGCTTCTCTTGCAAAAGAAAAATGAAGTTTCCTCAAGGTCTATCAGGGAAAACCAGAGATTATACAAACATTGTTTGTCAGCAATTGCATATTGATTGAATAAAAGTTATTTTGCTTTCTAATTGCCACATTTCCTTACAAGGTACTTGGCAGGTCAGGGATTTCAGTTTATTGAAAGAAAATAAAATGGATTGCAGTTCGACCTGACATACTGCATATGGGGAAATACACAGCCGAGTTACAAATTACAAAAAGCACATTGGGCAAGGAAAGTGATTTATAGTGCTTCTTCTATATGCCTAAACTTGGAATTCACTGGGGAGTATTTAAAGATAAGTGTACAAGATTTGAAATTTAAGCCTCAAAACTCTTATGTCAAGAACAAGTTGAATCCAAGACTTAGATAGTGGACCTTGTGTTGCTATAGAATATTCCACAACTATTTACATCTTGGTGCCAATGAAGATGTACTGTTACAACTTCTGTTTTGACACTGAGATTATATTACCTATCTCCTGGCTGATCAAACAATTTATATAATGACTCTAACATATTTTATTCTCTTCTAAAAATGTGCCATGTTAGAAATATACCTATATGTGACAGAAAACAGAAATACAGCCAAATATATTTTATTCATTTACTAATTTACTCAAAATGCATTTGTCAAGAGCTTACTATATTCTAGGCACTAGCATAAAATTTGGAAATATAGAGATACTCTTTACTTGAATTATGAGAGCTCAAAGTTAGGGGAAGGAATTCTAGAGTCCACAGAGGAAATAATTCACATTGCAAGTCAACATGCTAAATGTAGAAATCGAGATATATGTAAGGTACCCTTTACACTTTGGTGGAAGGAATTAAGGAAAGTTTTGTAGAGGGTGTAGGGCCTGAGACCAGTTTCCATGAATGACCAGTTTTCTAGATGGACAAGGAATAGGGCAAAGCAGAATGATCAAAATGTGTAAAGGTGAAAAGTATTACATCAGATGAACTTTTCAGAGAAAGCATTCTTAATAAAAAATCGAATCTTGAACAGACCAGAATACAGAATTAACATTTCAGCTGCCCATCATTATGCCCTTTGCACTGAGGGCTGAAAACCAGCAGTTTCATCTCAAGCTAAGCAATTTGTTTTGCACATTTCACAACTGTTCCATTTTGCTCTCAACTGAACACATTCATATAAAAACAAACATCTCTCAATGCAAACAACCAAAGTGAGGAGTACCTCATAAATGTAATCATTTCCCGACAATATCACAGACATCTTTTGGCACTTTTTATAAAAAAATTTCACTTTGCCACAATGATTGTTTAGTTGCTTTCTTTCTGTTATGTCTTAAATCCTTTCAGGATCTGGCTATTGTGTAAAAAAAAGCCTGTAAATTCAAAGACACAAAAGAATAAATACAGAGAATCAAAAGAGTATATCCAGTTAGCTGTGAGTTTTCTCTAGTAAAAGCTCCTAATTTTTGTCTCCTTCGACTACTCTGAATGAGTTAAATACCTAGTTTGCTACAAAGTTTGTGAAATTTTCAAGACTGAAGCATAATTTGGTGGAATTCTACTCCATTATACTTGACATAATATTCCAACACTGTCATGTATCCTTTTTGTGTGTGTGATACTGGAGTTTGAACTGAAGGCCTACATCTTGAGTCACTCCACCACCACCACCACCCCTTTTTTTTGTGAAGAGTTTTTCAAGATAGAGTCTCACAAACTATTTTCCCAGACTGACTTTGAACTGTGATCCTACTGATCTCTGCCTCCTGAGTAGCTAAGATTATAGGCCTGAGCCACTGGCACCCAGCTACATGTACCTTTTAATAGACTTCTAAGTATTGCTTGGAATTTTTATAATTTTCATTCAGCAAAATCACATCATATTCTTACATATCATCACTTCACATGGAATAACTAATGAGTACAGTTGTATCTGAGAGCTCATTAAACTGTAGATTTGAAAATGGCAAATCATTATCTTTTAGTTGTAGCAAAATTATGAGTAGAATCTGTGAAAAATGTGCCAACATTCTGAAGATTGATAAAAATTTATGCATATTCCTATAATTTGATCCAATAAACATTTACTGAGGGCATTGTCTTTGCCAAGCTCTGAAATCACACAAATAGATCTACTTCCATCTTCATCCTAAAGATTATTTTTAATGATTAAGAGCTGCAAATATTTCTGAGGATCAGCATAGATTTTTGCCATGAGTCATGACTATTGGAAATTTCCTTAAATTGAAATACACAAATTTCACTATGCCCCAAAGTGAAATCCCTGTCATTTCTAATTTCACTCTGGGTTATCCTATTTCTGCCAAGTGTACTCCCATCCATTAGATACAATTAGATTTTATCTTTTTTTTTTTTTTTTCTTATTTGTCTCCTTTTCCCAGTTACCAATGTCCTCCCAATTATTTCTCTGGAACAACTTTCACATCAATTCTTTCTGGCTATTTTGGTGGTAACTGGAGACCCATTTACTTTTATCTATACTATCAAACACTCATGTTTACTTGTCTCCAGTCTGGTTCTTCTGTAGGGGAATCTACAAATTGCAGAGACGTAGTTAGTACTCCTGAAAATACCTGTACAAATCTTCCTCTATTATAAACAATCACTCATGTCCCTTCATGTTCATTAAAGATGACAACTCAAGTGCCTAAATGGGCCAAGTAGGTAACAAAATGAATGAATTCCTTAGGATTAAGATAATGGGGTGTGCATAGAATCCAGATAAGGTTTATATAGAAGGCACTAAGTTATAGCTGATGGTTTTTATATTGAAATACATACAAAGTTGTTTTTGAAATTTTTTTTTTAAAATGTAATTTCCTAATATTTTTGGGAGGGAGGGGTACTGGTATTGAACCCAGGGCATTAAGAATGCTAGACAAGAGCTCTATCACTAATCTTCACCCCTAGCACCACAATTTCTCAGTTTTAAAATGTTGTTTGGATCAAACAGAATATATCTGTATCTGCAGTTTTCATATAGATCTTACTGAATATGGAAGACAGGCTGCTGGCTTGTGAACTTGGTTGAAATATTGATTCTGATGAGAATTTAATGAGGGAGGATTATTATACCCATTTAAAAAATGAAAAAGAGAGATTTGGTAGTAGGACAATAGTAAATGTCACTTTTATGATTAAAATGCAATATTGTCTGATTTCAAAGTCATAGCTTCTACACTTTCAATGCTGTTTCCTAGATACATGAATAATAATAATACATGTCTTCTCAAGAACCCTTTGTAAAAAAAAGTATTTGTATCCACATTTTACAAGTGAGAGGAGTGACTTACATGACCAATCTAAATTCACAAAATTGTTGATAGATGGACCCACAATATGAATGCACTAGTTTTAGTCTAGAGTCTCTTTTTATTAAACATGATACTATACTAAATAAATAGAAAAGTGAATATGCAATTAAGTAAATAGAACTTATTTCTAAATCCAGCTCATGCCACTTTCTCTATAATGGTTCTCTTGTTCCTCTTCCTCAGAAGTAATTTCTTCCTCCACTAAACTCTTATGTTACTTTACCTGTATTTCTCAGTCTACTTTGTGTTAAAGTTTACATACAAAATTTATCTTTTACTAAACAAGATCAGTATCTTGGTGAGCATACATAGATATCTGTGCATAGTTAGAGCTTGATAAAATTGTATAGAGTAAAATTAACAAAAATACAAATTAAAGCATTTTATCCATTTACTGATATAAAGAGTGTGCTATGTCTAAATGTAGTAAAAATATTAATTAAAAATAAAAACTTTTTAAAGAAAATTTGTCTACATCTTTCAGCTCTCCTCTGCCTCATAATGCTTAAAAATCTTGGTTCAGTATAGTCCATCAAAACTGTTCATTAAATTATTTAGAAAAACATGCACAAGATGTATTTGTAAAATATTAGGAAGGAAACCTCATTTGGTCAGGGAATAAACTAGGGCTTATGTGTGTGGGCGGTAATGTCAGCATGCAAACCAATTCCCCTGGTAACACGTTACATAAAAACATTTTGTTCAAATCAGGGTATCCTGCTGTGTTGTGTAGTTTCCTGCCAAAATGTTCCTTTGCTGTCATGTAGATAGGCCAAAGCGATCTGTTAGGAAACCTTCCTTCTCGATACAAAATAGTCCAACTCAGCAGTTTCTTAGGCCTCTAGGAGACAGACTTGTGTTTAAACTTATATAGTCTAAATCTCTGCTTTGGGTGTTTCAACACTGGACTTATTTTTAAGTGTAATATATATAGGAAATTTCAAAAAAAAAGCCCACCAAAACAGTTTTAGGGTCTTTATTGATCACTATGGTACTCCAAGATAATAAGCAGGATTATATTATTTAGGGGCCCTGTAGTTAAAATATTAGAGCATCTAAATGCAGGACATGATGTCAAATATGTCTCATTTCACTGCTTTCTAAAAAATACAAAAGCATTATAAAAATCAAAAGCATAAACATCAAGAAATATATCCTCACAGTTCTGCTTCAAACTAAATGGTAAATAAATAACATAGAGACACCTATGTATTAAATCACAACAAATTCTTATTTGTGTGACAGGGATGTTCCAACTGGTCTCTGTAGGTGCTCATTTTATAATACAATTAAGAAATTCCTACTAAGACAGTACATTTGAAATGTTCTCATCATGCAACAAACAAAAATGATACATATGTGAACTAATCTGTATGTTAAGAAGTTTAAGTTAGCCATTCCACAATGTATACACACATCAGAACACCATGTTGTACACAATATATATATATTTATAATTTTTCCTTGTTGATTAAAACTTAAGATTAATAAAACAAAAAGAAATGCAGAGACCGAGATAATGATGCCAGAGTATTATTCCTCACAGTAGAAAAATGTTCTTGACTTAGTGCTATTTGAGTCAGATGGTCTATATTGAGGGGTAAGGGATTTTGCTTGATAATGGCAAAAAGGAGTAATATTATGAAAAGGACAAGGAAGACAAGTTGATTTTCTGAGAATAGAGTTCCCAAAAATTCAAATGCTAATTCCTAATCCCAAATACAAGAGAACTGAGAGGTGGGTCCTTTAAGAAACCATAAGGACTCTGCCCACAGGAGTGAAATTAGAACTCACTTATAAGAGGCCCAACAAAGCTCTTTTGCCCCTCTTGTGCAGTAAGGATGAAGTGAGAAGGTACCAAACATGAGAAATGGGCACTCACTAGACATGGGGACCTACTAGTATCTTGGTCTTAGATTTCCCAGGTTCTAGGACAGTGAGAAATAAATTACTGTTGTTTATAAATTATTTATAAGTAAGTATTGTGTTATAGCTGAATGAAAAGACCATGGTAATATATGTGGTGGTAAAGAAAAGAGTGGGCAGTTAGTTAGTATGTGTGGAGTATCTAGGTTCTTCAGGGATGACATTCAGTGAGAGCTGAAGATAAGGAAGGCAGAAAGGAAAGTATCAAGTGGCCAATGCCTAGCTTCACTACTTGCTTAAGTTTTTCTTCCTGGAAAACATACCCTAAAAGCATGTCAGAAATCTTTTAACTTCCAAAAAACTATGCTTGTGGGAGGTATGAATCAGTGTGTGTGTGTGTGTGTGTGTGTGTGTGTGTGTGTGTTTGTAGGTCTGAAGAACAAAGAAGATAATCATACAAGTTAAACTCTCTTATATGTTAGATAGACATGGTTAATAGTAGTTTTGGTTGCTTGGCATTAGATGAGCATTCTGGTTTAAACACTACCCTATGGGAAGAATTTTGGTTATATGGGAGAGAAACTTTCCTCCTCTCAGCTATGAAAGTCCTAGAGAAGAGGGAAATAACATTTTGTGTTCCTGGCTCTATAGAGGAGAGAATATGCACACAGGCCCAGAGGCCAGATTGCCTGGTTGGAACGTGGCTCTGCTGCCCTTTTGCTATGTGAATTGGGTCAACTCAGTTCCCTCAGGCCTCAGTTTTCTCTTTTGTTTACCAGTACGGATAATGAGAGGACCTATTCCTAGGGTTATTGGGAAAATTGAGTTGAATGTTGTGTTTAGAATCAAGTACTAGAAATACTAAGTGTACAACAATTATAAATATTTATTAATATTAGTAAATATTAGGTTATTATATTATAATAAATTAGTTTTGTTATTACTGCTTAGTCTTAATGGTATCTAATGAAAAAATTGTAAAGGCCTGGTTTCTTTTGAGTTAGAGAACTCCATTTAGGTAGGACTTCTT